GGTGAGAGGGGATGGGGGGCATGGGGGTGGCTCTAAGGCATAGGGGGCCCTGGGGGAGAGGGGATGGGGGAGCTGTAGGAAATGGAGGGTTGTAGGGGCAGGTATGGGGGCTCTAAGGGATGGAGGCCGTGTGAGGTGTGGGACAGGGGCTATAGGGCAGCTGCAGGGAGATGCAGGTGGCCACAGGCGCGGAGGGCAGGTTCAGCTGGAGGCTTCAGACTCGGTGTCTGTCGCTGTCCCTTGTCTCCCCTGAAGCCTCAGCAAAGTGGCACAAGACAGGTTGCATCCCCTGAGTGCCCCCAGGCCTGGGAGGGGACCAGGGGCAGGGATGGGAACGTGTGCCCAGGGCTGAGCTTTCTTTGTGAAGCAGCTCCATCTTGGTCGTGGTATCAAACAGCTTTTTTGTCCTCTTTCAGTGCTCTGACTCGTGTGCTTCATCAGACAGTGTCCTTGTGCCTGCAGACCCCTGGGTGGGTGAGGGGGTAAGGGGTACAGAGGTGCCAGCAGGTCCAGGGCATCGAGGAGCTCTGGGGCTTGTGGGGGGTCAGACCAGCTCTTTGCCTTGTTTTTTCTTCACTGCTGCCTCTTGGAGAAGGCTTGTGGTAAAGAACAGCAACAGGAGAGTAATTGGCTTTGAGAAAGGCTTTGAAAGTTAGCTGGTACTAGGAGACTAATACTCACTGGGAGTTAACTTCCAGGGAGCAAATCCTCAAGCACTGTAGGGAGCAGCCCCTTGTTTTTGCACAATCAGGGTTTGGGTGTTTCCTTTCGCTGGGGCTGAGATTAGCAGTGAGTGGCTGAAGCCCTTGTGTGCTCCTGGGGCCAAGATTGCTGTCTTGGAATCTGTTCTTAGGAAATAGGCTCAGAAAGGAAGCACAACAGTGTGTTCAGTGCAGTTTGGACTCCCAGAAAGGAAACTGAGAGGCAGGAACACCAAGGCTTGAAGAAAAACATAGTGTATTTAAAAGAGTAAACTCCTTCTAGTAATGTTATAAAAAAGGGTATTAAATTCTTCCCCTATCATTAAACAGTATTTATCCTTTGGGCAGAAAGAGTGCAGAGAGGCACAGTGGGAAATGTAAGCAAAAAGTCAGCTGCAGTTGTAGTCTGAAAGCCCTGGGGACCTCATTCTTCCTTAAACTAACCAAACAAAAAAAGAGAACCTGGTTAACTCCTTAGTCAGCAGAGTGATTTTAAAGATTGAAGAAGAGGCAAAGATAGAAAATAGCAGGGCTAACTGTCACCACCCTTCTGTTGCAGCTGTGTTCTGTAAGAGACCCAAAAGCTCTCCCTCTTTGCAGGGAGAAGCTTCTGGTTGAGGTCCATGAAAAAAGAAATTGGCTGGGGAGTCTGTGAATGTCTCTGATCTTGAACTCTGCAGTCAGGATGGGTTCCAAGCCCTGGGAGGTCAGGGCCTTCCATCCATGTGCAGAGGGGATGGCAGCACAGGTCAGGTCGATGCCCTTCACAGCTGCAAAGCAGGAGCTTGGTGGGCTGGGGAGACAGGAGGTTATGCTGGTGCCTCTGCCTTGTGTTTATCTCTTGTCCTTTCTGAAAAAAAAATATAATAATCTGTAGAGACTGGTGAAGAGTTAAAGGTGAAAGAAGCAGCTGGTTTTCATAACTACAAAACGTTAGTTGGGGCTATTCAGAGGTCGATATGCAGAGCTCCTATGATTAGTTGGGAGTGCTGGCATCACTGATGGTTTGTGTGCCCCCACCAGGCAGCAGAGCTTGCTGGGTCTGCCAGCACCCTGCTGCTTGCCTGCATTTCGCACAAGATGGGAGGGTGGATGATTTTTCCCCCCCCAGGTCTCTGATGTTTCTCCATTCAGTTGTGCTGCTGAACTCGAGGGTTTTGCAGGAGCAGCCTGGTGTGGAGGTTGGCTTGTTCGTAGGCACCTCGAGCTGTCTCCCTGCTGGGGTGTGTTGCCAATAGAAGGCATGTGCTCTCTTAAGAGCAGTATTTACTAGTCCATGCTGAGACCCAAGATAAAGTGGAGTTGTATTTGCTCTCCTCCAGCTGAAGCAGGGAAATAAGAGCTTCTGTAAGATCAGACCATTTGCCTTATTTTATCAGCAGCTCTATCAGATGCTTCACAGGAAGAGGTGGAGGGTGAATAATATGTTTTCTTTTTACCTGATTCTTTCTAAATCCTTTGGACCCTTTCTTTGTAGAGCTATATTGGTACATTCTTTCAGATCAGATCTATACACTTGCTGTTGGCTCCAAGCAGGAGGGAGACTGACCCTATATTCTTTCCAGCACAATAACATTGTTAATCAATGTACCACTTATCTGCCTGTTCACTTGCTCCTACTCCAGCCCAGCACGGAGCCTGCTGGGCTCCCTGTGACCCCTGAGATGGTGCCCAAGAGAAGTGCTCCTGTGCAACCAGATCAGCAGCTACTCTCCAGCCCTTCTCAGGCTGCAGGAGTGAGCAGGGACTTACTTATCTGTGCCTCAGATGGTAGGGAAAAATAATATGTTTTCTTTCTTTTTACCTGATTCTTTCTAAATCCTCTGGACCCTTTCTTTGTAGAGCTATATTGGTACATTCTTTCAGATCAGATCTATACACTTGCTGTTGGCTCCAAGCAGGAGGGAGACTGACCCTATATTCTTTCCAGCACAATAACATTGTTAATCAATGTACCACTTATCTGCCTGTTCACTTGCTCCTACTCCAGCCCAGCACGGAGCCTGCTGGGCTCCCTGTGACCCCTGAGATGGTGCCCAAGAGAAGTGCTCCTGTGCAACCAGATCAGCAGCTACTCTCCAGCCCTTCTCAGGCTGCAGGAGTGAGCAGGGACATC